GTAATAGGTGCTACAATGGACGAGAAACCTTTGATAAAACGTCTATAATAATTGGAGAACCCAAGAAAACGCTGAATAGCTTTCAGACCTTGCGGTAGAGGCCATTCTATTACAGCAGCAAGCTTCTGGGGATCCATACGAAAACCTTTAGCGGAAATCAAATACCCCAAGAACTGGACTTCGGTTTGGTCAAACAGACATTTTTCTAGCTTGCAATAAAGACCATTAGCAAGAAGGGTCTTCAAAACTGTCGTAACATGTCTGTGATGAGTGTGTATATCTGTAGAATATATTAAAATGTCGTCCAAGTATACGATAACAAATGTGTGAATAAAATCTCTTAAGACATCATTAATAAATTCTTGGAATACTGCTGGGGCATTGCAAAGCCCAAATGGCATAACAGTATATTCGTAATGACCGGATCTAGTGTTGAATGCAGTCTTCCATTCGTGATTTTCCTTTATACGTATCAAATTGTATGCACTCCTAAGGTCTAATTTAGTGAACACAGTGGCATGTTTCAGCCTGTCAAATAATTCTGTAATTAAAGGTATAGGGTATGCATTTTTGATAGTGATTTTGTTTAGACCTCTATAATCTATACACGGTCTTAAATCACCTTCTTTCTTCGATACAAAGAAGAACCCTGCTCCAGCTGGAGAAGAGGATCTCCTAATAAACCCCTTTTCTAGTGATTCCTTAATATACTCCTCCATGACACGGTTTTCTTGAACCGATAAGGGGTACACCCTGCCCTTTGGAGGTATAGTGCCAGGCAACAAGTCAATAGCGCAATCATAGGGTCTGTGAGGCGGTAATTTCTCAGCCTCCCTTTTATCGAAAACAGTCTTTAGAGATAAATACTGAGGGGGTATAACCGTAGACAAAGGAGGACTGGTAGGTACCTCAATAGAATTCAAAGGTGTGACTTCCAACGTACAAGACTCGTGGCAGGCCTCACTCCATGATTTTATTTGCCCTGTCTCCCAGTCAAAAATGGGATTGTGAGCACGTAACCATGGATACCCTAATACTAACTGTGAAGAGGGAGAGGTGATGACCTGGAATCGAATGGTTTCATAGTGTAAAACCCCTGTGTACATGTGTAATGGTACAGTCTCATGAGTAACAACTGGAGAACTTAATGGTCTACCATCTATGGCCTCAACGGCCAAGGGTATCTCCTTCTCTCTGATGGGAATGTTGTTTCTCTTTATAAAGCCAGAGTCTATAAAATTTTCAGCTGCCCCAGAGTCAACCAGAGCATATATGTTGTCAACTATACAAATCTCTCCCATATATAAAGAAACCGGGAGAAGCAAGCGGTTAGGAGGCAATTTAGGAGACTTAGATATCACACCCAAGGCCAGTCCCCTATAAGGTCTTAGGTGCGAGAGTTTTCCGGGAGTAAAGGACATTCCTTTACCATATGGTCTCTCCTACCACAGTATAGGCAGAGTCCCTCCCTTCTCCTATGTAATTTCTCAGTATCAGAGAGTTTGGCAACCCCTAATTGCATAGGTTCCTCCTCAGACACTTTAACACTCTCTGGTATATTAACTCTGGGGTTAATGGGTGTAACAAAACGTCTATTCCTGTTCTTGGTATAGAGCCTGTCACGAATTCTATTATCTATATCAATGAGGTAATCGATAAGGTCCTCTAAGGCAATAGGAAGCTCCTTAGCTGCTACCTCATCCAATATCGTATCTGACAAACCTTCCATAAAGGCAGTAGTTAACCCATTGTTGGTCCAATCTACCTGCGAAGCAAGAGTGCGAAACTGAATAGCATAATCAGCCACAGACCTAGAACCCTGTTTAATTCTCATTAATGCTCTCGCGGCATTCTTTGACCTTTTCATTGTGTCAAAAGTTCTACGAAAAGCCGTAAGAAAACTGTTGAAATCATGTACCATAGGTCCATTAGCTTCCCAAATAGGATTTGCCCACTCAAGTGCCTTATCGGTAAGTTGGTGCATAAAGAACCCAACCTTAGACCTCTCTGTGGGAAATGAACGTGGATACATTTCGAAGTGGAATTCAATTTGATTAATAAACCCTCTGCAAGTCTTAGAGTCCCCTCCATACCTAGGAGGAGGTGTTAAATGGGCCGAAGTATTAGGCAAAGTAGATACTTCAGGGAGAAGGGGCGGAGGAGGGTTAGGTGTGGTTGCTGGAACGGTTCTAGCTAGGAGCGTCTGGAGAGCCTGAGCTATCTGATCCATACGGTGATCCTGCTCTACAAATCTTGCCTCATGGGACGCCATCTGTTGAGCTAAATCTGCGGGGTCCATGGCCCTATCGTAATGTAACGAGAATATACCCCTACACGCAGGATCCAGCTAAACAGAGGCAAATACAGAGGAGAGATACGTCTACCGGACCTTAGAATGGCCGGACTCGACGTATATGAGAGGAGACAGAGCCAGGAACAAACCGAGGTCAAGGGCACAGAGAGACAGCGTAAACTAGGACAAGCCGGGGTCTGGTACACGGAAAACAGCAAGCCGGCAAACAGTACAGATAAGGATAAAGCGAAAACGAAGTCAGAATACGAAGCCAAAGTCAATACGAGAAAACACAACTGAACACCACAAGCGCTAAAGGGAACTGAAACAGAAACCACGATAGGGCAACGAGCTAAGGGAAAAAGGTAAGTTTAAATAGCTTTTAAACGAAAGTGATTGGCTCCTGTCACTTCCACACCCCCCATAGGTAATTGTATAGGGAGTGTGGTATGACAGGAGCCAATGGGAGCCTTTTGGCAATTAGGCTCCCACTGTCTCTTTAAGAGCGCGCCCGAGACTCGCGGCGCGCTCTTAGTTTCAGGCGGGACACGTGACCGCTTCACGCGGTCACTGCCCGCCTTCCATCCAAAGCAGTCGGATGAGCCGCGCGCGGCTCGTGCAGCCGCAGGACCGCGCGCGGCTTTAAGAGAGGACCGCGACCGGCCCCCGGTTAAGGTAAGTAACGCTACAGTACCTCGTCGGTTTGGATAACTGTGATGTCTCTGTTTTGTCTGATGTGTGTCATGAATGGCTCCAGAGCAAGGACGAACAGTAGGGGGGATGGGGGCATCCTTGTCTGGTGCCATTGTGTATTGTAAATTCGGTGGTCAGTGCCCCGTTGACAAGGACTTGGGCTGTCGGTGCTTGGTATAGGGCTTCTATCCATCTCCTCATGTATGGTCACATTCCCGTGTGTGTCAGGGTGTGTCAGGGTGTCCAGCCCACTCTGTCGAAGGCCTTCTTCGCGTCCGTGGAAAGCAGAAGAAGGCCCCCGGTTTCTCCTCCCTTGTCGTGCATAAGGATGATCGCACAGATAGTGTTGTCTCTAGCCTCACGGCCCATTACGAACCCCACCTGGGGAACCAACATGGGGATATACGCCTGGAGCCGCATTGCCAGGATCTTAGCTAGGAGTTTAACATCACAGTTAATGAGAGAGATTGGTATATAGTTCCTGCAGTGTTCTCTGTCTCTGCCATCTTTGGGGATTATGGTGATGTGTGCCGTCAGGGCCTGCTTAGGAATGCATTGGCCTTCCCTCACCGCATTGAAGGAGTCCACCAGTGGCGGTTATAGACTGTCTGCAAATGATTTATTGTATTTCAGTGGGAGGCCATCTGGGCCGGGGCTCTTGCCAGGCTTTGTTTGTTGTATTGCAAGTGTCAGTTCTTCTAGTGTTATCGGTTCGTCTAGGAGTGTTGATGTGTCCCTGTCTATAGTCGGAGATGGATGTGCAGTGAGGTATGCCCGTATTTGGTCTTGGAGTTATGTTTTTGCCGTCTCTGTGTGTGGTTGTGGCAGGGAATATAGGTCAGAGTAGTATGTTCGTATTGCGGTCAGGATGTGGGTCGAGAGGCGTTGTAGGGTACCTCGCTTGTCTCTGATTTTGTCTATGTAGGTTAGCTGCCATTTTTAGCTAGCATCTTGGCTAGTAGTTTGCCACTCTTGTTTCCATGTAGGGAGAAGAATGCTTTGTGTCTGATTACGTCTCTGTGAAACTTAGATTGAAGTAGTGAGGTTAAGTCCCGCCTTAGCTGTAAGAGTCGCATCTTGTGGGTGTGATGCGGTGCGTGTTTGTTAAGGTCTTCCTCGTTTTGGATGTGTCATGACAGTGACCAATGTCACAACAGTGACCCCTTCACACAGCGTGAAACCCACAGAAAGACGGTTACCGGACCTTAGAATGGCCGGACTAGCGTCTGAGAATAGTTAAAGGAATAGCCAGAGGTCAAGGGAATACGGAAGACGGGCACACGATTATCCAAGCCAAGTAACGGGAAACCAGAAAACAGAATAGTCGGAGAGATAGCCAAGGGTCAAATACCAAGAAGGACAAACAGAGAAAATAGCACCACGGGACTTAAACAAGAACCACACTAGGGCATCTGACCAGTGTCATGATAGCCCTTTTATAGTGTGGGTTCTTTGGCTTTCATTTTGAAGCCACGCCCCCAAAAAGTCTGGGAGCGTGGCCACGTTTGAATTTTGGCAGCATTTTCTTTCTGACGGCGGCGCGCATGCGCCGCGTCATAAAGGTGGGCGTGTTCCGAGCGGCCGGCGTCAGAAGAGCTGAGCCGCCCCCCCCGGAAGTATTGGAAGAGGACCCGGCGCTGCGCGGGACCGGCGGGGAAAGGTAAGCGCTCGTTACAGGATGTCTGTCAGGATCTCGGTCAGGCGGGCTTTGGATTGTTTCTTAAGTGTTGTATAAAGTATCCCCTTATCACACTTTTGTGGGCTTCCCATCTGATTGTCGGGGTCGTCTGTCCTGGGGGGTTGTCTATGAAATAGTCCCTAAGTTTCTCCCCTATGTGGTTCAATAAGTCTGTTCTAGCTAGTAAATATTTGTTAAGTCTCCATTTAGTTATTGTGGGTCGGAATAGTGGGGATTTGAGGTGGAGGGTGACAGTAGCGTGGTCCGACCACGTTGCCACTCCTATGGTTGCGTCCACCACTAGGGGGAGGTTATGTTGCGTGATGTAGAGGTGGTCTATTCTGATGTAGGTTTGGTGCGGGTGGGAGAAGAATGTGAAGTCCTTTTCGTCCTTTTCATCAGGTGGGCTCTCCAGCAGTCGACTAGCTGGTGTTTGCGTATGAGGGTGTTGAGGGAGTGTAGTTGTTGTGTTGGGGTATGGGATGTGCCGTTGGAGCAGTCCCATGTTGGGTCTAGTGTTACGTTAAAGTCGCCCCCGAGTATCAGGACCCCTTCAGCAAAAGCGTGCAGTTTGTTTAGTGTTTGGAGGAGGAAGCAGTGTTGTCTATTGGGGGCATATATGGTCGCAAATGTGTAAGATTGTCCAGCTACTTTGCCCTTGAGGAATAGAAATCTACCCTCTTCGTCTGTTAGGCGCCCCACCTCCTGGAACGGCACTCGCTTGTTCAGTAGTATGGCGGTTCCCCTAGATTTTCTCCCATGGTAGTCGCTGAAGTACCCTTGTGGGTAGTGCTGGTTTGATAGTTTAGGTCTGTCGCCCTTCTTAAAGTGTGTCTCTTGGATCATGACTATCGAGGCTTTGTGTGCTTGGAAGTCTTTGAGGGCCCCAGATCGTTTCTCTGGCTTATTCAGTTCCCTGGCGTTAATGATCATGACAGTCAGTTGGGCTGGTGTCAATGTCATGACGGTGTGGCTGGGGTGGGGTGTAGTCCCCCTCGTATCGCTCTGTCGGAGTGGGGGAGGGAAGAGGGGGGAGGGTTATGTGTGAAGGATGGGATTTGGTGTGGGTAGGGGGAGTTGGGCTCTCGTCATCGCTGGGTGATGGCTGGATGTAGGTGTCGGGGAGCTACGGCGCACAGTACCACAAGTGGTCCTTGTGGCTTGCTCACCTTCCTATTGACGCCTTGTCCTGCGGGGTAGGGGAAGGAGGCCCAGGTTCTCCTTGTGGCCCACGTCCGCGTCCGGTCGGTAACTGTCGGAACTCGCATTAGTCACCGGTGACCGTCACAGACCCGTGTCGTCCCCCTGCGGCTCCAATGCGATATCTGTATAGGCATGGTTATCGGAATTCTCGCCTCTGGTTAATATGGCCTCATGGGAGTAAGTCAGTGATGTATGAGCTGTAACTTCAAGAACATCAATAAAATAGTATCGCTTTGTGCGTTTGGTAACATGTCTATTTAAAACAATAACTATATCCAGGCAAAATCCAGTACCAGAACTGTGTTAGCTAAAAGGTTGCATGTTTAAACTTCTGTCTGGGATGTAGTCCCAATTCCCCCAGGTGTGTCCCGTTACCCCGTCTTGTTGTCCCCCCAGCCCATTGTGTGCTGCTATCCCTGTCTTGTCTGTGCCGGTTAGGAGTTTGTGTTGTGTAGTTACGGTTCCTATGTGTTGGTGGGTGTGTGGGCTACCAGGTCACGCCTGTGTTGTCCAGGTGAGTGGTGTGTCTGGCCCCGCGGTCCCCCCCCCATTGTTACCACTTTCGCCTCAATGTGTTCTGGTTCGGGGCTGCCTCCTTCCCCCTTCCTGGGTTGAGCCTGAGCTCTAGCGTCTCTGATCTTCTACTTCCCCCCCTTATGGGTACCTCCCCGAGTCCCGCTCCCCGGGTGTGCCCCGCCAGTTCCCCCCACTCCTGCCTGCTTGTGGACGGTCATCGCAGGCCGGGTGGGTGGCGGAGGTGGGACCCAGCCGGAGAGATGGGCTTCCCCCCCACCCATGATGTACTTGCGATTAAACAGTGCCTTTTAGTTCTGATTACGGGTATTAGCATCTCTAGGCTCTCAGTGTCCCATTGCTGGGGGGGGGGCATCGGGCTGCGCGCCACTGGGGGGGCCCCTTCAGTGTCAGCGTGCAGGTACGGTCTGTCTGGGGGCATTATGGTGTGTCCACATTTGGGCTGTGCCTTGTGGATTTGTGTGTGGGTTTTAGCAGTTAGTGTCTCTGAAAGTCTCACTGGGCATTGGAGAAGACTGATTGCCAGCCTCCTGCCATGTGACTATGGCCCCTGGGATGTATTGCCCTTTAAAGACATTATTTGGGCTTATTGGATTTTAAAACACTTTTCATGCCCCTTTGAATACATGAGAAGGTGTGTCCCTACCCCGTTTCCTGTCTATTGTTCTCCAGCAGGGTGTTGTCCCAGGGACACTGTCAGACCAGTTGGAACTTGTTGCTATGGTTTAACCCCATGGCGATTTGACTGTGTTTGTGGCATCTGAGCGCTGTTCGGATATAGTGAGCGCTCAGATCCAAGCTATCTGGGTTCTGTTAAGTATAATAGGAATTATGTATTTTTATGTGCTTTTACTGTTGTTGTGAATAGAGCTATTTTTTGTATGCTGGAGGTAATTGGCTTACCACACCCAAGCCATGCTTGCAGGTGGTCACAAAGGGATTTCCAACTAACTTTTGACCCACTGGACCAATTTGTATGATTTTGACGTATGTTTGTATTTGGAGTATGCTGATTCTGAAAATGTAAGTGTTTATGTGAATGTGATGTATACTTTTAAAGTTATGAATATTGTGTAAAACTGTGTATTTTCCTGCCTGCCTTTCCATGTGTAGCACCATCTGGCGAAGTTGGGCCGCATGTTGTTGGAGCGTGTTCGTGTTTGCAGGCTGCGCCGACGTCATGTTGTCGCAGTCAGCCTCCAGTTGGGCTACTTTTTGCTGGGTGCCTTGGATGTCTTCTCTTAGGGTGCATATTTCCTTAGAGAAGGATTTATGGAGGGCAGCGTTCACCTCCTTCAAGTCAGCTTTGATCGGTAGGTTCTGAATCAACTCAACTCATTCCGGCTGAGTTTGCTGGGGGGTCGGGGTGTGGGTGCTCTGGCCATGTTGGTGCGGTGTGAGCAGGCAGGAAAGGCCAGAGGCCTCTAAGTCATTGGAGGCCTGCGAGATCTGTTCGTCCGGTGGCACGAGAAATTGTCGCATGACGGAGTTCTGAACCCCTTTGGGGGTGCTGGAGGACTGACTATGTTTTGTGGGTTTTTCCCATGTTATCGGTTTGGGATGCTGGTTTGGCGAGGATTATTGCTGCGCCTGTGGGGAGCTCCCGGTTTACGCCGCCCTCTTCCTCTGCGTCCAAGCCATGCCCCCCTAGAAAATTCTTAATATTGCCTCCTCTCCATCGGGTAATGCAATTTAATTGGCTCAGATCTTTTTTATGAATGATAAAATGTTTGGCTACTGAATGGTTTGGGTATCCATTGGTGATGTTGCGACAGTGTTCACCCAACCTTTCTTTGAGGCTCCTTGTGGTCATGCCCACATATTGGAGACCACACAGGCATTCAAGGAGGTAGATGACATTTTTTTGTAGTGCAAGTAATGAAGTCTTTAATATTATATATTTTGTTTGTTCTATTGGATTTGAACTGTGTGGTCTTGGATTTTGTAGATTGATCTGTACTTTTGCATACTGTACACCGTTTACATTTTAAAAACCCTTTGGTATCAGACGGGAGACAAGATTGGAGTTTTATAACATTTTCCCTAGTAAAATTGGAGGTTAAAATGGATTTAAAACTAGGAGCTCTTCTGAATACAATGTTAGGTCTTTCTGGTATGATATATTTTAAAATATCATCTTGTTTGAGCAGATGCCAGTGTTTGTTAACTATTTTCTTAATGTGATTGCTTTTATTGTTAAAAACGAAAATAATGGGAAGAGTAGGGTGGTTACCATGGGTTTTCTCATGGGTTTTATAAGTTAAAAGCTCTGTTCTTTCTTTCGTTTTAATGGCATCTATTGTTTTGTTTAAATTAATTAGTGGGTCATTTTTCTCAGTGATTTTTTTTTTTTTAAATCTGCTTGTTGGTTATCTTCCATCTGGGAACAATTTCTCCTTAGTCTTAAAAATTTACTTTTTGGTGCACTTTCCAGCCATGGCTTATAGCCGGTCAATGCCTGTATTTGTGCATACCTTTTTTAAAATACCATCTTTATACCTAGCGGCCCGCAGAGCCGTAGCACAACACTGGTCATGCCCGGACCTCCCGCAGATATCTCTGGTCAGGACAAAAATACGTGACAATTATCTGATGGATAAACTCATGGCCCAAGTGCGGAACACATTGACCACATTCCACAAGGTGTGGGATCCATGGGAGCAATACGACACATAGACTCATGGCACGGGGCGCAGGGCGGCATCCACGCGGTACACTTCAGTGGCGACAACTGGGACTCACCCAACAGTCGCCATCATACCATAACCCGGACGGGTGGAAGCGGCTCCACTGCAGAACGGGTACCTGGTTAAAGCCGGAACACGGGACGCAGCCCACTGGGACGGGCAGCACCGGGTCCACGGCCCCCAGGAGATCACTTCATCTCCATACTTCAATACTTTACTAACTCTACTTGTCTCTACATATCTATCCTTTTCTTATATGTTTTATTTATTGCAAGCACACCAGACCTGTAAACAAACAGGAGGAGAGAAAAGCTATCATATTACGCACATAGCGGAATGACAGCACCCAGGGGGTGGCATGGACAGAGCAGACAGGAAGGGCACAATGCCTGACCTAACTAGGCAAGCTCAGAATACCCCACACATACGCTTGGGCCACAACAGCACAACACACTCATCAAAGCCAACCTGAGAGTTCATGACACAGCACACTCCTCAACAATACTACCACTGTACATAGTTACATTTTGCTTGCCAACACAAAAGAAAAACTCTGGCAGCAACGCACACAAAGTGCACAGTATGTGACTGATGCCTGTACTAACTATACTACTCTGCATTCTGTACTACATGCAAACAAAAACTTGTACAGTTATTTACATGCCTATGTCTGCACTATTGTAACAATGCTTGACTGTCAGAACGAAAAATAAAGAATTTAAAAAAAAATATACCATCTTTAATAAAAATTTCTAAGTCTAAAAAAATAATAGTGGTCTAACTGTGTTCACAAGTTAAACTAATTCCTCTGTCATTAGTGTTAAGGTAACTAATGAATGAATTGAGTAAATCCTCAGGGCCATGCCATATCAAAAAGAGGTCAGAGCTCAGGGCCATGTTCAAAGATCTAACATTGAGGGATCTAAAATGTATATATATTCATTGTAAAAATGAGCATTAATAGGAGTATTTTCAGCATTATCTGCTGAAACACGTGACGAGCGTCAAAAGCGCATCATAATTTCCAGCTTCTATGCTTAATGGGGGCTGTAGTGCTAAATGAACCACACGCTACAGCCACATTAGTAGCATTGGGGGAGGGGAGTGGTCGTGACTCGACTGTTAGTGTTGCTAAGTGTAGTTAAACTTAGAAATTTTTAAAATTATAAGTAATAGATGGTCACGGTTTCTTTTTCTGGCTCACGAGTTGCAATAAAGGCTCCTTGTTGGAAAGTTCTTGGATGAAAACACAGGCAATGATGAACACAAACATAAATGGTAGATGATCTTGTGCCAAGTGTTATTTGATTTTGGTGTCTTAACTATATTTTACCCTATGGTGTTAAGTAAGTACCTACACACCTCCTGATAATTCTCTCTTCACATCCAGTGTGCTCCTGGTGCACAGATCAACAAAATATCACTGCTCTATTTAACCAATTTAACCTAAACACCTATTATCGCTGCTAAATTTAATCAATTTAACCTAAACACCCATCAGAACAAAATAAATTCCAATTCGCCAACCTTACTATTTAAACATGTATAGATAACCCTAGATGCATACTTTCTCTTATCCCTCTTAACTATAAATATATCCCTCTTAACTACAAAAAGATGTAATAGATGTAATTCCCAATACCAAGCAATGATTTGATACAATACAATTCCTTCTCCTTTTTTTTTTTTTTTGCCCGACCACAAAATTTTAAAAACAATCACTTGCCCAACCAAAAAGGTAAAACCCCTTACCCACCCGCTGTCACGACAGTGACCAAAGTCACAACAGTGACCCCTTCACACAGCGTGAAACCCACAGAAAGACGGTTACCGCACCTTAGAATGGCCGGACTAGCGTCTTAGAATAGTCAAGAGAAATAGCCAGAGGTCAAGGGAATACGGAAGACGGGCACACGAATATCCAAGCCAAGATATGGGAAACCAGAACACAGAATAGTCAGAGAAATAGCCAAGGGTCAAATACCAGGAAGAACAATCAGAAAAGATAGCACCAGGGGACTTAAACAAGAACCACACTAGGGCATCTGACAAGTGTCATGATAGCCCTTTTATAGTGTGGGTTCTTTGGCTTTAATTTTGTAGCCACGCCCCCAAAAAGTCCGGGAGCGTGGCCACGTTTGAATTTTGGCGCCATTTTTAGTCTGACGTCGGCGCGCATGCGCCGCGTCATAAAAGTGGGCGTGATCCGAGCGGCCGGCGTCAGAAAGGCTGAGCCGCCCCCCGGAAGGATCGGAGGAGGACCCGTCGCTGCGCGGGATCGGCGGGGAAAGGTAAGCGCTTGTTACACCCGCCTAATAAATAACGTTGGATAAGTCACCTTAGTGATCAAAGAAACTTAGAAATTGTCATTAACTTATAAGAGAATAGTATGCACAAAATCATAGATATGTTAAATAGACACAATAAAATAAAACACATTCAATAGCTAATCAAAGGTCAGAATTTAAACACCGGTGTCCATCTGGTTTCTGCTATATTCCAATGTCCACCTCTGGTTTCTGCTATATATCTTAAAAGGTGAGAAAACAGATTAGGATTACTTTTCCTAGTCACTTAAAGTGTGTATGGCAAAATCTTTTACTTAGCATATGTATACATATAAATACATTCCTTACACTTTTCAATTTATAAACAATTTGTTCAACAAGACAACATTCTTAATTTTCTACAAGGCTCTTAAAAAAAAAACAACTAATAGCTGCTTTCGGCATCTTCTTTGCAATTCGGGAGTACACAAAACAAATGTCTAGCCAATTTAAACATGTTTAATAACTCTCCACCATTTGGGTAAATTATAGAGGAGTGAACCACAACACCTCTTCCACCTCTGATGAAAGATTATATGTCAGTATGTCTCAAAGTTCAACACTTCTGACAGCTATGAGTGACTCCCTATTAATTTTAGCCTTTCCACAGACATGTCTGCACGTCGCGGCTAAGGGCCTGCGCAACCAATCACCCTGTGGTGGCAGTGGCTTCCGCATGGGGGTAATCGCCACCATAAAAATTATAGAGGAGCAAACATACAGAAACCTCTTTCCTGCTTGAACAAAAGTTATGGGCCAATATATCTGCAATTCAACCAGTACACTAAGGTATCACTTATTGTATATTACCTGGTCTCTCAGGAATTTCTATTAAATAGTTTATCCCCTTCCCAGGGCAATATATACAACTAAAACTAGTCACCAAGGGTCCCTATGATGTAATAGGCCACCCTACCACTAGTGTAATACGCCCTTATTTTATATATTTCCTGGTCTCTCAGATATTAAGCATATCCCTTTCCCAGAGCAATATATAAACAAATACTAATAAGTTACAAAAGACTACTTATAAGTAATACATGATTTCAAATAAAGGATAGAACTGCAGTACAGCTATTGGGTATGCTCCCCTTCTCTAGACACGTAGATTCAAAGGATAGAAATGTTAAAATCAGTTACAGTATATAGATGGCTTCTAAAATAATATAAATCTCAATCTGAGCTCATACATTTTCAAATATTCTAACCAGACCAAATAGGACAAAAAGGAATTATTTTACCATTTTTACTGTTCATTTGTTACCAGTTCCTGAAATTCATTCATATGTCCTGTGTGACAATACGGCCTAATATATTATCCGTGGTTATTCTTTTTACACAACTTGCAGCACAAAACTGCTCCACTAAATGATAGGGCTCCTCTTTGGTAGCGGATGCAGGATATACTGAGCTGATATCTGATTACTATGTGATATTCTATCCATCCAGTCTTCTGGCAATACTCTTAGTAAACTCTTTAGAGGACAATAAATAGCCATATCTTTTGAGACCCCAATGAAGAGACAACATCAGTTTCTTTCTTGGCAACTCCTCAGAACCCAGACTCACTCTGACTCAGATTATTGTATCCAGATCCAGCTTACAAAGATCACAGCATACAGTATAATAAACATTGCACAAAACATTCACCAATGGGAATACAAAACAGGTCGTAGGAAAAGAACTACAAGGCAACAAAGTGATTCCTTACACTAGTTACTGCCTCCCTCTATGCCAATACACCATGACAACTAAAGGTTATCTTGATTGTACTCACTTATCCTTCAGAGCAATCTCTGGTTACGTCAACACAGCCCTTGGCTGTAGTACATAGACTTGCTGGCTCCCACAGTAGGTGGTCACTCACAGTGCAGCATTTAACTTGATAACCCCACAGAATACATTTCACACTTAGCTATACTTTATAGTTTATAACGCGACTTCCCCCACAGACACACACTATTCTAGATATAATACAAGTACACAATACAGCAATATCTAGATACATGGAAAACAGTCACAAAAATGGTGTCACAAGCTTAAAGCTTGCGCCAAACAAAGAAGGCCATCCATCAGATCCTGTAATTCCTTAGCCCTGGATAGTAAAGCTGAAAAACACACTGCACAAATTGCATTAACAAAACAATGCATCCTTTACAGCAAGAGATAATTTAAAAACAAATATCTAATCCCTATCTCTAAACATATATGCTATCTGCATTCATCCCAGTTAAATCAAATCATTATTAATTTATGTATTTATATACAGACAGACAATTTACTGTATGAATTAAGAAACATTCATAACATATATATTTCCCCTGTCACAAAATCAACTTTACATTTACATTTGCTCTTTCATTTCTAGTCTATTTATACTAGATTGAGTAGTTTGTACTACTTTGTAAATGGATTTACTCACCTTTAAAACCAGGGAAATTTTAATGAGCTTCTCTTACTGTAGTTACTGGATTTACTGTCATAGCAACATTATCAATAGTGACTCTGCGGTGCACTTTCTTGTTCATATAAGTCAAATGCAATTAATTTACTATTCTCCACCCATTTTATGAAATGTGCAAGCATTATAGAAATAATAAGATTAGTATACTTTTAAAATTTATAGTTTTTTTTTTTTATAAATTACATATTTTTTTCTGTGGAACTGTAAAAAGAGTGCTAAGTATTAAACAAGCCTCAAGTCAGAGCATTACCTAAAGCAGGTGTAGGAAGCCTTCAGCACTCCAGTTGTTGTGGACTATATTTCGCATAAGGCTCTTACGGCTAAAATGCTGGCAAAAATTAAGAGGAGAAATCTTGAATGTTTGTTTTGATTTTACCCAGGAAAATCTTAATATTAGAACTTTGTGGTGAGATCATAATCCTAATTAAATCAAATGTCCAAAATGTCAGCAATTTAGTCGGAATGTTGTATACACTGAACAAACAGTGCATTTTACATTGTTGAATTTGCATTAATTACATAAAAGCATGTAAGCACTCATAAGCAGCGTAGGATCAGATTTTTAATTTGATGACACTGATGGTATATCTCAAGGGCAGTAAGCTTTTTTAAATTATATAATAAAGCTGTGTTAAACTGGTTCTGCTACCTTGTAGGTCATATTATGTTTTGGTGACATTGCCAATTAAATGTTGTCATGGTTATAATGATTCCTTAATTGTAATTCCTATCTAATTGTGTGTTTTTTTATTTTTTTTCCCATACAAGGAGCTGAATGCACACCCATTTGTCTAAATCACAATGTGACATATAGCAAGATGGAGGCAATCATATTGCCAATTAACACAACAGAAAAAACTCTGCAGCACTGGATGAATCCAATCAGGGTCAAGGTCAGCTCTAAAAATGTGAAAATAAAGCAGCATTGTGTCTATGCCTAATGACTTTCTATGCAAGGTTATATACTGACAGCATAATAAGGGTGGGCTTTGTCATTATCAAGGCTCTGCCACTGTGATCAGGTATTTTCTGGTCCACACTGAGAAAGATTATAAGCACTCAAAATGGGTGGTCCAAGACTTTTGGATTGCATGCATGATCAATTATCAACCAAAAGTAACATCTGTCAGTTTACTCTGATCTTCACTGAAGTGAGAATTCAAAGTGCATTGCAAATTCAAGGTTAACCTTTCTGAACTGGAAACATTATTTAAAGGAAATCTTTAGTGTTAGGTATATAAAGATATATTTGTAATACTAATGTGTCCTTCTTCCACCGCTGCTGATCGTCCATAAAAAGTACAAATTAAAACTTTAATTGGCTTACCTGATTCCAGCACCAATATCTCTCGGTACTGGATCCGCAAACGTCAGTCGATGGGTAGAACCTAATGAGAGCAGTGCATAAATTACTCTTTCAAAGCATAGATTCAATGCTTTCCTATGGGGTTTTGCTTTATTCTGGATGTCCTTGTGCAAAGTGTATTTTTGCTGGTAATCAACCCACACTCTGAGTTATGTTTGAGGAAAATTCACTCAAAGGAGCACTATAGGGTCAGGAACACATATATGTATTCCTTACCCTATAGGGTTAAATACACTATCTAGCCCCCTTAGTCCCTTTTGCCTCCCTAAAGATAGTAAAAATCTTACTTGTATTCTAGTCTGAAGCTGCTGCCTCTGCCTGTGAACTTCTCTGACATCATCAGAAATGGTGGCCTGATCCAATCACAATTCTTCCACATAGGATTGGCTGAGACTGACAAGGAGGCAGATCAGGAGCAGAGCCAGCACAATTCAAACACAGCCCTGGCCAATCAGCATCTCCTCATAGAGAATTGAATCAATGAATCTCTATGAGGAAAGTTCAGTGTCTGCATGCAAAGGGAGGGGACACTGAATGTTTGAATGCATTTTAGGCAGCCATGACCCAGAAAGGATCTCTAACAGCCATCTGAGGAGTGGCCAGTGAAGTTATCACTAGGCTGTAATGTAAACACTGCATTTTCTCTGAGAAGACAGTGTTTACACCAAAAAGCCTGAAGGTAATGATTCTACTCACCAGAACAAATTCAATAAGCTGTAGTTGTTTTGGTGACTATAGTGTCCCTTTAATAAAAAGTTAATTTCTATTTAACCAACATTGACTGCAAAAGGTTGGGGATTTATTGTCCTTCTGTATAAGACTGTTGTGATCAGATGTGCAAAATTCTGTTCCATCTAATACAAACCAAATATAAGTATTTGCCTCACATTAGTCCCATGTCTAAAAATTATTTCACAATGTCATACTATTGGCAGTTGCAGCTGGTGAAGTTTTGAGTCAGACTCCTCACCAAGAATTCAGCTCCACCCCTATTTAGCCACCATCTTCTGACCTGTGGGATCAGTCCGCTTAACTTCATATACCCAACAATGAGGTCAGGGGTAGGCAACCTTCGTCAGTCCAGATTTTTAGGACTATACCTCCCATGATGCTTTGCCATGAGAGATGTAGTTCACAATATCTGCAGTGCCAAATGTTGTCCACCTCTAACCTAGGTAGACCAAACAGAGTTACATACAATATAGAGCAACCCATATTCAGACCTAGGTAATATAGAGATATCTATATATTACTCAATGCTAGCTGCAACATGGAGGTACTGATACATTACACTGAACCAGGTAAACACAAAGTTCCCCATACACAACAAAGAAACCAGTCAAAAAGGGGATACCAATACAATAGTTCCTACCAAGGGAGGATACCAATACAATACTCTGAACTGAACATAATCTAGATATACTCATGCAATACAGAGAGCTAGGCACAACACAATGATACACATACCATGCACAGAGCTTGGAAAAATTCAGAGATATTCATATAATAGACAATGTTAAATGGACACTATAGTCACCAGAACAACTACAGCTTAAAGTAGTGGTTCTGGTATCTATACCCTATCCCTAAAGGCACTGGACTAGTGGTTCTGGAGTCTTTGTCCTGTCCCTACAGACACTGGCCATCTGAGTGGCTACCACTAGAGGTGTTCATAGGCAGCCTTTGCATTACTGCCTAGGAACACCTCTTGTGGTAGACACTCAGATGGTCACTAGAGGTGTTTCCTAATTCAGTGCTGCAGAATGTGCAGAACCTACATTCAGCATCTCCATGCTGCTCCATGTTTATATTTGAGATATTATAGAAAGAGCTATCACAGTAAGAAGACACCCATAACAGCTAGGGTCACTCTGTGGATACACAGAGCTGCAATACAGATATACAGTGCAAATATCTGTATAATGTTCTCAGTCTAACTATAGCTCTCTCTTTTCTTTTCTTTTTTTCTTTATAATCTTTAAAGGACACTATAGTCACCAGTGCAACTACATGTATTCCAGTGCAACACCACCATCTAGCCCCCCTGGGCCCCTCATGCCTCCATAAATATAGTAAAAATCTTACTATATTCAAGCCAGAAGCTCTAACCCTGCATGCTGTTTGTTTTTTTTGTTTTTTTTGTTTTTTTTTTAGGCAGTCTGCTGACATCATCAGAAGTGATAGCCTGATCCAATTACAATGCTCCCCCATAGGATTGGTTGAGACTGACAAAGAGGCAGATCAGGGGCAGAGCCAGCACAATTCAAACACAGCCCTGGTCAATCAGCATCTCCTCATAGAGATAAATTGAATCAATGAATCTCTATGAGGAAAGTTCAGTGTCTGCATGCAGAGGGAGGAGACACAGTGCTACCCTGTGCTCTGCTGTCAGCAGGTCTGAGTGGATTTAGGAGTTTTATGCCTCAATCAACTAGGAAGTCCCACTGGTGGCATTCTGAGTGACTGCAACTGGAGGTGTTCCTAGCTTTCAATGTAAACACATTTACATGAGAAAGGCTGAAGGGGGCTATAGTTCTCACCTGAACAACCTCATTAAGCTGAAGTTGTTCAGGTGACTATAGTGTCCCTTTAGTTCATATTTAATATGTTTAAAATACACAGCACAAAATGTTTTGGATATACAGATATTTAAATTTAATATAATCATATTATAATTATTATAATTTTAGGAACATTTTAAATACATGTTATTATTAAACCTAACTTACTAAGTCATAACGCTTATGATATTGTAGTAATCAAAAGCTGCATAGTAAAAGTGACATTATATATATATATATATATATATATATATATATATATATATATATATATATATATATATAAATAAAAAATCTTACTCATACATTCATATCCTTCATACAATAGAAAAAAAAAGAGAAAAAAAAGTGGAACATGGACAAAGGGGAGGCTCATCATAAGAAATAGAGCTATAGACAGAATGCCTAGTAAGATTTAACATAATATTAACTTTTATGAAGATTCGGAAGGTCTAAGTATTTCTACCAGGCTTTACATTGTTCTACTGTTTCTCTAGTTAAATAGAAACTACACTCCAACTTATATTGGTAAAAAATTGGTTACATATTGTTAGCCAGTTTATATCTGGAGATTTCCACTTACGAGCCAATACAATTTTAGTTGCAAATAGAATAGGCGTTTTTACATTTTCATGACACTTTGTAGTGTAGTGGGGACTAGATACCATCTATGTATAAGTTTATAGTGAAGTTTATAGTGAAGTTCTATTATATTGATACAGTGAATGTTCTGAAGAACCTGCTTAATACATTTAGAGGGAAATAGATGTTCAGTTTGGGTATCCATCTACTTATTGGAGAGGGCTTATTCCCTTCTAATCTATTAGTTTGAGAGTTAAGTATTTCAGATGGTGCGTTCAGACACATTTTCCAATTTAAAGAGAGTCTTTTCTTCATTAGTGAGGTGTTTAGTTAAAATGTGAGATTTACTAATGTTAAAATTAATGATTTGAATATTTACTGAATTTAGTGATAGTTGAGAATAAGGCCTGAATTGATCTGGAGGGATTTCCCATGGATAGAAAAACATTGTCAGCGTAGAGCATTTTTTTGCACATGCAGTACGCAGTCTGAATCCCTTGTATTTCCTCATTTTGATGAATCAGAATAGCTAAGTGTTCAACTGAGAGAATGTAAAGCAAAGATTCCAAAGGGCAAGCTTGGTGAGTTCCAGGTTAGTGACAGTGAACCAGCTTGATTCAAATAGAGGGCCGACAACTTCAGCAGTTGGGTATGTATATAAGGACATTATATAGTGTTTAATTTTACCAGTCAGCCCAAAGCTATCAAGAAATGAGTCTAAGTAGGTCCAACTGGCTCTCATAAAAGCCTTTTAGGCATCTAAGGCTAAAAAGCCAACATCTCAATCGATCCATTTCATGAACAATATTTATTATTTTACTAGTGTTATCTATTGGATTTCTATTCATGACAAATCCTGATTGATGTTTATGAAAAATGTTTGGAATTACTGGTTTTAATTGATTGGCTATGAATTTTGAAAACATATTTTTTTTAATTTTATTTTTATTTACATTTTAGGCATATACATTCACATTAGTAATTCAAGTAAACATGTTAATCTTGGTTAGAATATTCCTCAATTTAAACATTAAAAAAAAAGCATAGCCTAAAAACACTTAATTGTGTATATAAACATATATTACATTAACTATACAGATCAGGAGATTAACTTTCTTATTCCTATGTCATTAACCTTTTTACTATTGCAAGGAGTGATTAATTTCTCGTGTTTACATATTACTTAGCCAGGTGTCAAACAGTAGTGATGTCGCGAACCCGAAATTTTCGGTTCGCGAACGGCGAACGCGAACTTCCGCAAATGTTCGCGAACCGCCCGAAACGCCATTGACTTCAATGGGGAGGCGAATTTTAAAACACACAGGGACTCTTTCTGGCCACAATAGGGATGGAAAAGTTGTTTCAAGGGGACTAACACCTGGACTGTGGCATGCCGGAGGGGGATCCATGGCAAAACTCCCATGGAAAATTACACAGTTGATACAGAGTCTGGTTTTAATCCATAAAGGGCAGAAATCACCTAACATTCCTAAATCACAATGAATATGGATTGACACCTGACATATGACATTGACACCTTGACATA